TGTTAAAGTTCTCACATGTAGGAAGTGAAATGTCTGCAGAGGACGCTAATCTAAGTAACGTGCGAGGATTGGAGGTGAATCCTGGTGACTCTGCTGACCTCGTTAGCACAGGTGACGTCACTGAAGCCTCCTCCCTGGATGCGGATCTCTTGGTGATAGGAGCCCTGGTTGGGGGAGATGGTGTGGACCGTGGGGGTGGAGCAGGCGGCGAAGCTGAAGGACAGACTTCCTGAAGTCTGATTGGCTGGCTGGCAGCGTGTGGAGGCCACGCAGTCTGCTGCTGCTCTGGAGACTCTCCTCGAACCTGCAGGTCACGCAGTGACATCATCATCAGAGTTTCTTCTAACTTTCCTCCTTTTTTACGCCCAGTTTTAATTTCATTGCTTTCCTGGTTTGATCCCTTTGAACGCGTTTACCTGCTGGTTCATATGTGGCCAGAACCCCTCCCACACTGACGGAGACGTCGCTGCTCTTCTCCTCCCGACTCATGACCTTCACTGCTCCCTGCATCAGGATGGAGGCGCCGACGTAGCCGCTGCTGTAGTAGTACGTGCCGGGGACGGTGAAGCGGTAGCTGTAGAACCCTGAGGAAGAATTTAAACGGTTAATTCCAAACATTTAACCTTTAACTTGGTTTTAACGTTAATCCCTCGCAGGGGCAGAGTTAGGAAATGTGGGGCCCTAGGCAAAGACGGGCAGGGGGCCCCTCTGAACTGAGAACATCAAGCAGCCCCGTCCTCCAGATAGAGAAATGTTAATAGAATAGACATCCATTATCTGTTCTAGGTTGTGTCCCTCTCTTCTTGTCCCTTTTCTTCTTGTTTTCCTCTCTATGTTTTGTACTCAGCTGACTTTTCATGCTGTCTCTAAAGGAATGAAAGATTTTTTCCAAGCACTAAGCTCACTTAGCTGATTGCTCCTTCCTGTGTTTCCAAAAAGGCCAAAGTCCTTCTTTTCTTTTTTCTTTTTAAACAATACTTTATTGTCTTTTACAAACAAGACAAACAACAACAATTCAACACAAGACAAAATGTGAAATGTCCAGCAAAACACCTGTACAAAATTTCAAATACACATCAGGGTCAAAACCTATAATCCGTCTGATAAGTCGAGGGGAAAAAAAAGATAAACAAAACAATCAAACATAATGTTTAAAAAAAAACTGTGACCCCCCCCCCCCCTTTGTGTAACAGCTCAGTAGGCAGATGATCAAGCAAAGGCTGCCATACTCTATAGAAATCACTACAATTAGCCTTTATAATGGCACTGAGGCGCTCCAGCGGAAGCACCCTGAACGTTTCTCTGTACCACTGTGTTACAGACATCGTCTGTCCAAATGTTAAAGTTTTTGGAGTAAAGTCATTTGTGCTGAAGATAGAGAAAGCCCTTCTACAGAAAGACCTAGAATAAACAGCACAGGGTTCAGTGGGACTGTCTGGTGAAATATTGAGCGAAGCTCTATAGAAACGTTATTCCAGAATCTAGCAGTTATAGGGCATTTCCGTACACAGTGATAGTAAACATCTGTATTGCACTTTATGCAAAGAGGGGAAATTTGAGGGTGAATTTTATGTAAAAACTCTGGGGTTCGCTGCAAACACAGTTTTAGTTTATTGGGTGAAAAACATGAGAAACTTTTAGCAGCTTTTCAGCTAAATTCATTTATTTCTTATTTTATTTATCCATGCTTTTTTAATTTTTTTCTTTCCTTTTTCATGGCTGCATTTCAACTGATACGAATAAATAAATCTGGTTATTTGAACGTTAAAAAACTCAATAATACTAAAAAATAAATCACTAATTTTTTAATCTTTATCTTTTTTTCCAAATAAATGAAGGCATAGTGATAATGAATTATTCATTCATTAATGCTTGATATAAAACTGCAAAAGGTGAGGAAATTTAGGTTAAAACTATGTGATAAAAGAAGAAGGTATTTATAGTTTTCTATGATCTGTTATTGTTTCAGCTGCAGCCTGCTGTGTGATGTCACAGCTAATGTGTTTATCTGTGATAAAGTGAAGCGGGGGGGAAGCAGGTTCATCTCTAATAAGGCTGAACACTATATTACTTTATGCATTCATCACCAATTCACCGTTCTGCATTTATTATACTGCATATATTCTGCATAGTGCTGTTTGAAGCGCAGCGGCTGTTTGCTGATATATTCCAGTTATGAACCTTTGCTTTAGGCTCTGATCTGCCACCATTATTTACCAATCAACTATAAAGGGGCGTCGGTCGGTCCTGCCGTAGCGCTCTCCGTGGGAATATAAACCACAGAGGAAGTCGGGCTTTGTGTGCATCTTCATTTTTAGCCCACATGTTTTGCATTCTGCCATCGTTTTGTTGCTGATATCCTGGAAAC